GTAGTCGAACGCAGATCCACTGAGCGCTCAACACAGACAGCATCGTCAGAAGAAAAGTTGATAAAATAAATTTTAAAAAAATTATTGTTCGATACATATTGATACGAGTATTGTTGCACCCCTAATAGATAGAAAGATAGATAGACAAATTTGTATAATTGAACAAGACTAATCAAATTTTTTATCTCTCACCTGCATCAATATGTGTTTTGTTGTTCACCAAGTTCGTTTTGATAATTGTTTTATTCAGTTTGATGATGATGTCCTCGCTCACACCAGAGAGCTGAAACACACAGTCGTATCGCCTCCAGTCTTCAGGTGTGACTGATGAAATATTGAGATCAACACTCATCTGGAAGGTCTCATCATTGTTGGGGAGGATCTCTCCAGGATCCACACCTTCATGAATCTCCACTCCATCTTTCCTCCAGAAAATCGCAGCTCTGTCAGGGTAGAAACCTGTAGCATGGCAGCTGACTGGAGAGGAGGGAGTCTTCTGGAGGAGAGACACTGGGGGAAGAACTGGAGAGAGGGAGTATTGGAAAGAGATTGAGTGATAATGGATGGAAGTAAATATGAGATGAAAAATGGGGAAGAAAGGAAAAAAGAAGAAAGATGAAGAAATTTAATTTGGCAATATTAAGAAAAATATATATTGTCAGGAGTAAAGCATGTGTAGTGTACATATTTGATGAAAAACAGCACAGTACCAGTAGGATATATGTGTGGCTGGAAAAGTTTTAAATAAATCAAAGAATACATTTAAAGATAAAAATCAATATGCAATTGAAAACTCTGAATTAGAGCCAAAGAGTCACCAGCTTTGCGGCAGCTGCATAAGGCTGTATTGTGCTATAATTTTACCATGGATTGTGTTCATGTAAATCTCTTTCAACCATGAACATTCATATAAATGTCATGTAAATAAATCAGCTTTTTTCTGGTTATTTGCACATTGTGGGTAAACCTCTGGTGTCATGAGAGTTATCAGAGTGATTTGGCCAGGTAAAAAGAGACTCACTTTTGTAACATGGAAAACTCTGACTTTCAACATATCTTCTACCTGTTTTGTTCAAGGAGCTGCTCCCATAATCCAAGAACATCTTCAATCTCTCTAGAAAAATTGTACCAAAGAGGTTTCCAAGGTATTTAATTAGATTTCTGTCACCATCCATTGTCTGTTTGACAATGTTAAACTCTGGTTTCAGTGGGATCCACGACATTGTCTTTAGATCAAATTCCAGATAGCCTTCTCCATTGTAACCTAACTGTAAAAAGCCTTTTACCTCTCCAGAGTTTTCATTCACTTCAGAGCCAATCATACACTGTAAAATGTGAACACCTGAAAAGAGAAGAAGAAACAAATATTACAATTATGTGTGTTAATTGTAGATCATGTGACACATTTCCATCCTCAAAGGTCTGCATTTTCATCATGATTCAAGTCAGATTCTGACAACCTTTATTGATCTAATGGAGCCTACTGTGGAGACTCGAATTGTGGATGATTTAAAACCAGCTCGGATGTGATTATTCAATATTAAAAGAAAAGATTAAACACTAGAGGTAAAGACTGTTTCAGCACAGAAGTCAGCTGATAGATACATAGACTACAAAGTGTAAGAACCTGAAAGAAAGTTAAAAGGTTTGAAGACAATAACAAAACCTAGCTATTTTAAATATAAGACTAAGATTTAGAACAATTAAGTAATTACAACAAGTAAATATGTATGTTTTACATCAGGTTTCATGGTCTTAATTAAGAAACACAAAATTAAGGCTGTAAATATTTTAAATGATAATTATTTTAATTAATTTTACATAAATCAGTTTTGTTTAGATACATCCATAATAATATGACATAATATATCAAAGAAAGTACTGCACCTCCACTTTGGTTTAACAGCTGCTTTAAATTAGAAATCGAGTTTTGGTAAATGCCTGGCTGATGCTCAAAACACTCTTGAGTGTACTCCCTCTGTGCGCCAGGGTTGTCATCAAGCATTTTTTTCACACCGTCCTGTCTTGGTTCTACTATCTTCTTGCTGGCGTCACAATAAAGCACCTCTGTGTCATCAACTTCTAAAACAAACATAAATTCTGCGATGTCTGGGTTTCCAGAGGTTCCAGTGCCCAAATACTTCAGCATATGGCTCACTGTAGGACAGACAGATGTTTAAGATGTTAGCAAATAACCAAATAAAACATGTAGAAAGACGTTTAGAAATATGACTGATTCATTGGGATACAGTAAAGGCAACAGAAGTGTCTGCAGCAGGCTGATGAAGTCTAATGAACAATAAAACTTGACAACAGACCATCTTGATCTTATTTTGGTAAAAATGTGTGGGGCCAACAATGTAAAACAGTCATAAAAACTTTTGAACAAGATTATTTGAGCCTATAATAATTGCATCAATAGCATGGTTGTTTTGAGCTTTAAATTATTTCTTTGAACTGTTCTTTTTCCAAGGTGGAACGATTGTATCAGTGAGAACTAATTTTTACATAATGCATTTCAATGGGAAGGTGTCACCATGTCAACTATTGAAAAGGGTGGGGATAGACAGAGATTTAACTCCCCCCGGCTTACCTTTCAGTACATTAGAGAGAGTGTACATCAACAACAACATCCAGTCTTTTATAGAGTGCTACAACAGAGTTTGTATGCTTTTGCTAATATCAGATCATCTTTATTTTTAATCACAGGCAAATCAAAATATGAATTTCAGCAATATGTTAATTGACAAATGTAGTTAAGTAGTGAAAAGGTCTAGACCTTGTCTGTGAGAATGTGCTAAAGACAAATCTTACTGATCTAGAATTACACTGCCAGGCAAAAGTTTGGACACTCCTTCTCACTGTCACGTGTGGAGAAAAATAAAGGAGGAGCCAGTTGCAGGCACTCGTGGAAGTGTGAAGGAGGTTTATAGTAAGACAAAACAGAAGTTGAAAATGGCAAACAAAACTAAAGATAACCTGAACTGGGAAAACTAAACTACTAAACGCAAACAAGAAGGAGGGTGCTCAGAGGCACATGGACGATGCGCAGTAGATTCACAGACAGACCAGTGACTACAATATAAGAAGACATGACTTGAATACACACAGAAGAACACAGGGAGATTACACACAGGTGGGGAACACAGCTGGAAGTAATTGACGAGACGAGACAAGGGAGGCAAAACTGAATACACTCACATAAGACACGGACTTTCACAATAAAACAGGAAACAAGAAACCACCACACAAAGACGCAGACTAGAGCCAGAACTGAACCTACACTAAACATGAGACACAAACCCTAAGAACGAATCCCTAAACACGAAAAAACAGAAACATAGATTATTATTATTAATAATAATAATAATAATAATAATAATAATAATAATAATAATA